TTCATATTATATCTTAATATGAATTTACTAATAAGGGCAACACATGTTAAACTCTAAAATATTTTTTTTTTCTCATGGTATACCTTAATTAGTTATTCCTATTCAAATCTCTATATCTTCTTCCACAAGAGATCAAAGTTATTTCTTCTTCTTCTTCTTCTTCCTCCTCCCTCTAAAACTCCAATCTACCCTATCAAAACTCACCACCATCATCAACATCATTGTTTTTTATTATTTTGAAACCTGAAATCCAAGAAGAAAGTTTGAACAAATTTAAATAATAGATGAGAGTAATAATCAAAATAATTTTTTGGAGCAACCCATCAAAAAGGAGGTAAGTATTCATATAAAGGGATTTCACAATTTGTGTAGAGCACCATCAATTATTTTCTATATCGTTTTTTTAACCAAAATTAAAGGGCCCATTAGTTAGATTAACAATAACATATTATTGGAGTTGTTCTTATTTTATCATTTAAATAGTACATTATCTGAAAACTATTCTTTCTTATTAATGCTTAATGCTTAATGCTTATGTGCTTATAAGTTTTGTTTTTATTTTTTCACGAGCATTTTTGTAGATAATTTATAATGTAAAAGTTTTTTTTTTTTGTATTGAAAAGTTTTATAATGCTTATGTAAAAGTTTGGTTTTATCTGTATTTATAATGCTTATGTACTTATAAGTTTTTTTTTCTTCTATATTTGAGAATTATTTTTTGTATTGAAAAGTTTTTGAAATAATTTAGTTTTTTTTAGTTTGTTCATTATTTATTGTTTGGGCTTACCTTAAGAGTAATTTGGGAAAAATAATAGGGTTCTATGAGCGTAAAATAAAATTTTAAATAATTAAACAGTGTGTACTTAAAAATGGGTAGTACTTAATAATTTTTTGAGTATAAATAGAATCCCCCGAGGTAAAACAACCTTCCCAAACCTTAAAAAAAATAGGACGGGCTGGCCACGTATTGATGCCCATCCCTAATTTAAACTATTTGACACCTTACTTTTGTGTTGGAGTTTTAGGAAGTAATATAAAATGTGTTAATTACCAAATAAAATAGGACATTAACGTTTTATTTGGTTGAAGGATATGGAAAGAGATTTGAAAAGAAAAATAAAAAAAAGTAGGTAAAATATGAATAAAATATATTTATATTTTATTTAATTTTACACATACATCTTTTCTTTTTTTTTCTTTCTAAATCTCTGTCTAAATTCTCTAACCAAACACAAGTTAAGAACACTAAATAATTTCTAATATAGTGCATTATTTAATACCCACGGCAACACTGACAATTAATATTCACAAAAAAATGCTATGGACTGATAAAGTGTGTTGTTCAAAATTTGCATACAAAATGTAACTTAAATTTGTTATAGTATGTGCTATAGCTTAGAATGAATCTGATTTTCATATTTTAAATTCTAAATGCTATGGATTGATAAAGTGTGTTGTTCAAAATTCGCATGCATAATGTAAACTTAGTGTAGTATATGCCATAATTGAGAATAAATCTGATTTTTATATTTTAAAATTCTAAATATTATTTCGTATCATTTTTGTTGAATACAAGGGTACTGTACCTCCTCTCTCACGATTTTTAGAAGAGCAACTGAATTGTACATCTTACTTAACAATGATTTTGTTTAGGGTTGCTGTTGGGGCACATATTGGTACACTTACAATGAATATATATTTCCTTAGTAATTTACTAGTGCTTTGTAAATCAATACTCATTAATAAAACTCATTATAAATAGGATAAATTACAAATACACCTCTTGAGGTTTAATTAAAATATAAATCACTTCCTGTGATTTTGAAAATTGCATTCCATCTCTTGAGATTTTTAATTTTGTAACAAATTGTTCCTTTTATTAATAAATCATGAAGTCAATTAACAATTTTTAATGATATTAGAAATATGTTTTAATTAATAATTTAGATAATTTTATTATTGTATTAGGGAGCAATTATGAATTTTATTTTTTTAGTTAATTCTGTTAAATAATTTTTTTTAACAAGGAGGTATTTGTAATTTCAAAATCACATAGGACAATCTGCACTTTAAGCAAACCTCAGGAGGTATATTTGTAATTTACCCTTATAAATAAGAAAATATTTTACTGCCATACATTTTCATTAAATTTTTACTAAAATCCTATTAATTAATACATAAATTAACAATCTCAAAATAGTTGTAATAGAATTCAATAAAAAAAAATTATATAAAAACATAGGATTTTAAGAGTAAAAAAGCAACAGTGTTGTAGTGACAGGCAATGAAATGAGTGAATTTATGAAGCATTTATGTACTGTTGATGGACAAAGCAACAAAGCTACAAAAAAAAATAATAATAGTAATAAATAACAAGTTTTCAACATTCAGGCCCCGTTTGTTTTGGGCTATAGAGAGAGTATTGGGACTAATAATACCAAGGTATTACTAAAGTCCCTGTTTGTTTGCAGAGAAAGGGTTGGGACTATTAGTCCCTTGGTATTGCTAATACCCTTGGAAGGGGGATTGGTAAGGAGGAGGTAGAGATGGTATTAGAAAATAGTGAGGGGATTAGAAATTTTTTTATTTTTTATATATTGGGAATTTTTTTTTAAATATAATGTTTAATTTTTTATATTTTTTTATTTGTTTTATTATTTTATATAAAAATAATTTAACAATTCCTCATTATTAATCCCCTCACTATCAATCCCCTCACTATTAATCCCTTCACTATCAATCCCCTCACTAACAATCCCCTCACTATTAATCCTCTCACTATCAATCCCCTCCATTCTATCTCCCAAAACAAACGGGCCCCCAAAGAGTTGAAGAGTTGGTTTTGGCATGGAAGGTTAGGCCACTGCCCTTGTCGAAAGCATAGAGGATGTGCACATCACTACATTTCTAACCAAAAGGTTCTGTAAAATTCTTGAGAGAGAAAGTGGGTGTTTAGAAAGTACGTTTTTTTTGTAAGTTTTTTTAGTTGTAGGATATTATTAGAATTTTTTGCATTTGGAAAGATAATTAGGTCTTTTTATGATTATATGTGATCTTTGTGAGAGAAAAAGTGAAATGATTATGAGGTTTAATGTGATATTTTATTTGGATTTGTTTTTTTTTTTAGTTTTGTAATCAATTTATCTTTTAATAAAAAAAAAAAAATCCAAAAATCAAATCAGTTTATCTTTTAATAAATAAAAAAAATCCAAAAATCAAGTTCCCAAACATTGCCGAGTCGAGATTTTTTTCAGAGCTATCAATTTGAGAGATATTTGTGGTGAAGCAGAGAGTGTGACTTGGGCATGTGGCTACAAATTTCAATTTAGATTTATTGGCTCACTAGAAAGAGACTACATGTCTTGTTCAATCACCTGAAATTAGGATTTGGAAAAATCAAATTAGATTTGCATGTTTCTTTCTTTCTTTCTTTCTTTTTTTTTAAAAAAAGTTTTACGATTTGGATATTTATCAATTTGATTTTTCCATTTGGGAATGACCAAGTTTTAGAGAAGTTTGATTTAACTAAAATTTAATCACGTTTGACGGCAATGTTCTCACAATCAAAACAAGAACTGAATAAATTAAATAAAGGGGGTGATTTTCACCGATCATTTTTAAAATTTGAAAAACATAATATATATAATAAATTTTATAAATTTGACATAATTATATTAATTTTTTTTAAAAATAAAATAAAACAAAACATAATTAATGTAGATGGTGTGTAACATATGAATAATTTATGATAAATATACATTTCAAAGTAAAAATGATAATAATATCATTTTCTATTCATAAAAATGAATTACTAATAAAAATAATGTAAATTAAGATTATAAGAGAACACAGTATATATATATATATATATATATAGAAAAAGAAACTACAAGAATGAGTAAGCATGGCTTGCATTTATTAATGAATTGGGCTTACTCAGTTCATCATTCTTGCATATTAATAGAAAGACATAAAAATAGACCGCACATAAACTAGCACTAGTTTAGCATTTTTTGTGAGGTTAGCAAACTTTCTTTTGATTTACTAGGCCAACAAATTGTTGGGAGTGAGAAATGATAACAAACCAGATGTTGTTTTTATAATTTTTATTACTATTTGATAGGCTTAATTTTGTAAAGAGATAATGTACCTGACGAATCTTAAAATGTGAATTGTTTAAATTATCGAGTAGGTCTAATAAGCCAAAATAGACTATTCAATTCAATTTAGCGGCAATCCAGGTCCTATGCAAATTGGGTGTTTAGAAAATTGCTATTTTAGTTTTTGACTATTTTAGTTAGCTAAAATTTTTGTATTTGAAAAGATAGTTGGATTTGTTTGTAATTTGATAGGATATTTGTGAAAGAAAAAGTAAAATGATTATGAGTTTTATGTGACATTTTATCTTATTAATTATTTTAATTTATTTTTATATTTTATAAATTTTAACCCAAACAAAACAACCCCCCGGAATGGATCGTCGGTCGCCCTTCCCCGTCGCCCTTTCTTGTCGCCCCCAAAACAACGTCGTTTTGGGGGCGAATTTTCAAAAAAAAAAAACGCAGAAGAGGGAGGAAGGAGAGGAAGAGAGAGGGAGGAGGGAGGAAGAGGACGAGGGGAAGGGCCGGACTGGAGGGGGCCATAAATACAGGGGAGGAGGAGGAGGAGGTGGAGACGGGTCGGAGGCGGAGGCGACGGCGGTCGCAGGTGCTGCTACGAGGTGGAGCTGCTGCGACGGCTGCGACGGCGGCAAGGGACGAGGACGGCGAGCACGCAGCCTCCTCCTCCCTCCCTCCTTCCTCCCTCTCCCTCTCCCTCTTCCTCTCCTTCCTCCCTCTTCTCTGCGTTTTTTTTTTTGAAAATTTACCTCCAAAACAACGTCGTTTTGGGAGCGACAGGAGAAGGCGACGGGTGACCCGGATTCCCCCCAAAAAAAAACATATATTTTTTCTTTTCTTTGGGTTAATAATATATCCAACTAATTTTCAAATCGGAGTACCAAAACTAATTTTTAAATCTACATCCTGTATTCCTTACCCTTGGATTCCGTCAAAAATCTTTCTAAAGAAACAAACAAAAGAAAACAACCCCCCCATTGTGAAATCCTTGATCACTTCCGAGTTCTATCGCCTTAATGGGTTCTGGGTTTTCGGTCTACAACATGAAGCAACCACAGTTGCCGGAGCTGAGTCTCGGCGATTTGCCGGAGGCTTGCTTGGCCTCTGTGATGGAGTACTTGGATCCGCCGGAGATTTGTAAGCTAGCGATGCTGAATCGAGCCTTTCATGGAGCTTCATCGGCCGATTTTGTGTGGGAGTCGAAATTGCCTCCGAATTATGACTCTGTTATTGAGAAAGTGTTTGATGATTTTCCATCAAAGCTGTGTAAGAAAGATATATACGCCAGGCTCTGTCTACAAAATTCCTTCGATGGAGGCACAAAGGTTTGACTTTCTTTCTTATCTCTTCTGTTTGTTTACATAGAAAATTTCATTTTCCGGGAATTTTTTATTTTTTATTTTTTTCCGTTTCTGGGAAATTGGGAAAATGAAAATGGTAAAAGAGAAGATGTGTTTGGTTTTCTTTTTGGGTATCGAAAACCCCAAAAAATTGTTGCTAGCTTCGAAAATTAAAACCAAACAGGCCTTAGTTTGTTTATGTTGAATCAGATGTAGCCTTGTGAATTTGATTGTTGAGGTTTGTTGATTTTGGTTATGTGCAGAAAGTATGGCTGGATAAGAATACAGGAAAGCTTTGTTTGTCAATATCTTCAAACGGGTTGGCAATTACTGGAATTGATGATCGGAGATACTGGAACCGTATTCCGACCGATGAATCTAGGTGAGGACTTGAAATCGTTGTTGATTTTTGTTGCTTCTGTGGGTACTTTGAGTACAGGGTATGTTGTATATTTGTTTTTTGATGGGTTTGTTTTAGATTGACTGATCAAATCCAAATGTTGGAGCCATTTCTTCATTGCAATCCTCAAAAGGTAGGTTCTTTGCTTTCATTTGTATAGAAAGCAGTGTTATTTTTGTTGTTGTGGTTATTATTATCATTGTTCATCTTAGTTGGTGAAATAATGTTTCTCTGTTGATGATGTAGTTGTTTTTTATTTTATTTTTGATATGTTGATTTTGTTAATATTAGGAAGTGGGAGAGTTTTTAAAGCTTTTAATATTTGGAATACTTAGAAGTTATGGAAAAAAAAAATGGTGAAATCAATTACTATGGGCTTTCTAGCTGTTGATCATTGGGAAACCTCTTGGAAATAGATGAGTTAAAGGTGTATTAGTGAATCCTTTGTTGATCTTCCCAGGCTAACTGTGGATCTACTAAGTGAGGCATAGTCCTTCCTCTTTTATATCTTGGGTTATTCTCAATTTTTTCAATTATGTTCTAATTTACTGGAACCTAATGAACTGTTCCAGAGCCAAGCTGTATGGACGATGATTCTCTCCTCCTTTACTGTCGTAGGAAAGTGATTCTTCAGATTCCATCCAAGGCAGCGCCACGGTTTAAGGTGGATGCTGCCTCGAGAGGGGAGAAGATGTTGGAAGCGTATGGATCATCCATTTATTTGTGTTTGTTTTAGGTGAATCTTGGGCACCTTCTAAAGTTAATTTTCTAGACTTGTGCCATTGCCATTCTGTTTATGTTATAGCTAAAATGTGCTAATATTTTAGGCTTTTTGTGTTTTTGTTTGAAGTTGCTAATTTATTTATTTTTGATATTGTTTGTATTAAATTTAGATGCAGTATCTTGTGCTTAACCATAAAATTAGTGCTGAATGGACATTGCTTACTGCAACAAATAAGAGTGTTTTTCTTTTTCTAGTTCTAAAATGGGAGAGTTGGTATGATTTTTATTTTCTACTCTTTTCCTCCTTGAAATTCTTAAAGGTGGAAGGTTGTTTTTAAGTGTTTGGTGTGCGCAAATTGGCCCAACATATAAAAAATAAGAAAGTATTGATGGACTTGCATTTTAGCCCTCTATTCAGTAATATTAGTACCACAACATAATTTATTTGTTGAGGCAATAAAATATGTTGGATTTCGGTGCATGTAGATTTGGCATGGTGGCATATCTCCAGCAAACCTGGTGGTTTGAAGTTGATGGAGAGGTTGAGTTTCCATTCCCAGCTGGAACCTACAGCATATTCTTCAGGCTGCAATTAGGCCGGGCTTCAAAGAGTTTTGGTCGTCGGGTCTATAATGCCGAGCACATCCACGGTTGGGACATAAAGCCGGTGCGATTCCAGCTATCAACTTCTGATGGTCAAGAAGCCATATCTCAATGCTTCTTGGGCGAACCAGGAAAATGGATTCACTACCACGTTGGAGATTTTGTAGTCGAGGATCCCTGCCTTGCACCGACAAAACTCAAGTTTTCAATGACTCAGATCGATTGTACTCACACGAAAGGTGGTGTGTGTTTAGACTCTGTAGTAATATACCCAAGTGAGTTTAAGGAGAGGTTAAAGTGTTTTTGAATTGCTATTAACCTTTCTGGTTGGAGAGAGAGAGAGAGAGTTGTATTTTGTGTAGTAATTTAGATGGAGGGAGGTAGGAGAGATTAGAGAGATCTGAATCATGAACTAGTTGGTATGATAGGGCTTAGAATGATTTGTATTTAAGCTAGGAAATGTGGATATATATATATATGTGTACTTTGTTGGTTGATTAGGTATGTTAAATTTGTTAATGATTCTCACTCTACTCCTTTTTGTCTTTTGTCTTCTCTCGTCTATTACGGGTATAAATGACCCATCGTTTGTTGTTGGATGGCTTTTTATTGTTTATACTTAATTTCAAGCATGGTGTTTTCAGAAATTACTTAATAAGTTTTGCCTACCAAACACATGTCAATAAGTGAATATATGATCATAATTTGTGTGTTCTAGACATACTGCTAAAAGATAAGTGGACCTACCACACAACTTATCAAAAACTATATATCATTTTTTTTACCCAATTTCCCTAGCTTGTTTGGTTAAAGTATATGTCATTTTCTTTACCCAATTGCTTTTTTGATTATAATTAATGTTTTTTTCTTTATATTTTTATTCTTCCCTCCCCGGATGAAAAATTAGAAGATCACTAATTCTTAGTTGTCAAAATGATTGATGCTTGAAAATTGTGGGGACATAATTTTTATTTTGTCCACATTGTTTGATTGTTAGTCAAGATGTCATATGATGGGCTGCTATTTGTCGACGTGTGATGTGATCACACGAGATACAGATAGTACCAAAGTTTTAGTAGAAGATTGATTACTAGGTTGGATCAGTTAGGACACTTAGGTTAATCCTAACCAATTAAGAGAGATGAGTTCTAAGCGATTGTTATTCCTAAGGGAACAAGAGATCTATTGATCACTAGGAAGACGAAGACGCTGGCTGTATATAAAGAGAGGCACTTTGGTGGGTCAAATGTACGTTTTTATTTGTAAGTTATTGTTTACATTGTGGTATTTTGAAAAGTTGGTAAAAAGTTAATTTTTTTATGACTTTTCTGATTTTTTTGTATAAAAAAATAGAGAAGTGACGTGACCAAAAAAAAAACCAAAAAGCTAAAAACCTGGCTTTTTATCAGCTTGCCAAAACGCTCCATTGTTACTTTGTTGGATTATCTTTGAAAGATATTGTAATTGACTTGATTATTGGAGTACTCTCCCGGGTGACAACAACCGCCTTAGTTATTTTGTTTGTCTTTTTAGGTGTTGATTCCATCTAGTGTTGTTAGCAAAAATTCAGTTTAGGCCCAATCGACAGTGATTGATTGATAGGCTTCAACTAATTTTAAATAAATACAAAAATGATCAGATTTTATGGTTGAGTCCTATGCTTCAACTGATTTTAAATAAATACAAAAATGATCAGATTTTATGGTTGAGTCCTATGTCTTAAACAGATTAAGGACTTTCTTGTAAGTAATTAAGTAAAGAAAGATTTGAGCAGAACAAAATATGTATTAATTCGAATAAATTGTCACGTATCACTAGTTATAAAAACTTAAACAAGAATAAAAAATTGAATAAATACAACAATCAATAGAAAGAAGAGAAATGGGGGTTGGGAAAAAACTACTAGTTTAATCTACTCCTAAAATAACTAATTTAGAACTACTCCTAAATAACTCTTCATGAGTGTGATTGGTGGTTGTAGATTGATTGATTAATGTCTCTTTGTATATCTCTTGGCTCATTTATAGGTTCAGCCACATGTAGAAAAGAGATAACCTAAGCTCACAATTTCCTCAACAAGCCCATAATTTTCTCAACATGATACATATTCCATCTTTGATAGGAATCATTTTGCAGATTTGGTGCTTGATTTGATTTTAGCTCTTTAATCTTAGCAACTAACTTTCAATTTGCTCAATTGTTAACTTTCTGACCCTCCATTTAACATGTCATCATTCCATGTCCTTAACACATCTATCATGCTACGTTAGCATGCTTGTCGATAGGAATAATAATAATAAAAATAAATATGGTTCAAGGTTATTCTTTGAAAATAGTTTATGATTCAATTGACGGATCATAATCGAACTTGACCATAATTAATAAGTCACAATCAATAAAAAAAAAATAAAATACGATGCAAACAAGTGCGCATGCTTTTTGACATTGTTCCTAAAATCTTTAGAAGAGGATTCAATTTGATTGTATAGTCAGATTTTAGCATACACAAAAATCAAGATCATCTGTGTTCCCACTCTAGATGTTGTGAGAAAGGCAAATACTTGGGTGCAGTTTGGAAACATTAGTTTACTACTTTAGTTTACAGAAAATACGTTTTGTACACATGTTTAAACTTTTGTTTTTGAAAACAACTGAAAGGAATGACTTGCAAGTGTTGATTGTTGTCGTTCAGAAATGGTAGCTAGAGTTGGTTGCCATTAGTGAGAGGGCTATTGGCAGTGGGCCGAAGGTGGTGGTGGCCAAAAATAATTTCCAACGAGAGATAGTGGCTAAAGATAATTATCGCTGGTAAGAGATGGTAAGCAGTGGTTGCCAAAGGTGGTCATCGGTGACAGTGATTGGTGATAGTGATAAGCAATGGATGGTGGTTGAAATAAGTTGGGAGAAAAAAATAATTAGACAACTAAAAACTTTTCTATGATTATAAAAATTTAGTAATTATATAAGCTTTATACAATTTTTTGAAAACAAAAGCAGACACCAAATGCGTCTCTGTTTACTATTTTCAAAAATTCTATAAATATAAACAAAAAAATTATAAATATAAATGTTATCAAACATGCCTCAATGAAAAAAAAAAAAAGAAAAAAAAATTAAGAATGTGAAATAAGACTGTCAAACTAGTGAGAATCCTACTGTCACGTACTCATAAAAATCTTATAACATCTTGCCTTCTTTAAGAATGTGACTCATTTAAGAATAAAACAAACAAATGAGCCCACAAGGAATGCGACTCATATGATAACTGATGGAGTATGAATCAAACAAATATCATCATAAACAAATATCATCATATAAGTTGATCTAGGAGTAACCCAATATGTTCAACCCAAAATGGTTGACTCAGGCCATACCAAGCACTCAAAACAGAGTGGTAATTTTGAATCAAACAAATCAAGATACAATCTGATCCTATTCTATTGTTATTAGTCAAGCTGACAGGAAATTCAAAGCAAAATTAAAGAAATTGCAGCCTCTCTGCAATTCCTTGGTTCCCTTGAACCAAGAATCCATGCCAAGGATAATGTCACTCAAAAGAGGAGGGCATGTCCTCACCACCATGACTGAGGAAGGCCGATAGTATACATTTTTCAAGCAACCAGCAAACTGGCAGTGTCACTGATTTTGCTGCTCACTAGTGCCAGGCCGCCGATATGGCACAAATCTATGATCCTTTGCAGCATTCTTCCTCCTCCTTTTCTCAACATAGGATTTGAGCTTGCCAGATGCCTAACAAAATGGAAAGGAATTTCATTAGTTTTGAGCTCAAATCATTCAAAAACTATTAATTACTTGCAAATATTCAATCTTTCATGTTATGATAAAGGTCTACACATACCTTGAGCTCCTCGTATTTTTCAACAAGCCTTTGCTTACGAATTTCCGCTGCAAAATACAAATCCAATTGGTCTTTGTAAAAATTGTTTGCGGTGCTAGTGTGTTTATTTAAGAAACCATTAAATATCATGAAAGTAGTCAGATTAAATAGAACAAAACAAAAGAACAAAAAAATTGACATTAGCAAAAGATAGCATGGACACCATTTTAAAGCTAATAAGAAACAGGGTGTTTGGCATAGACACCAAATATTTTTTCCAGGAGAGTTATCCAATTGAGAACTAAACCAGGCATTCCTTTTTTTTAGCTATGAATACTAACGAACTGTCTTTTGTAGCACTTCCGGTACACAACTAGTCAAGCACATCGTATTCCATTATTTCCCTTCCGCATGATGTTTTTACATAGTATTTTTGTGAAATTGTTTATGGTTCAAAATCCATTTCCAGCTAGGATATTGCCAAATTCTCAAGTCACAGGTTCATCTTACACAACAAAGATTGTTATTGCTTAAAATTATGGAAAATGACCAGATTATCCTCCCTTGTTTATTTAAGGTGCATTAGAGAAACATAACCAAATGGAGACTCAGAGAGAGCAAGAGAACATTACATTGCTTCAGATAAAATGGTCTCTTCCCTTGCTTCGTAGCCTCTCTTTCTTTTTTCTTGTGCTCGGACAGAATGTCCTTATCGGTACGCTTTGTTGCTGTAGACTTGATTTGTTTGTCCTGACAAGATATGTAGCAAGTGAAGAAATTTGATTAGTGTAAAACAACTTGATATTTCTCGAGGAATTAAATGACTGCACAGACACAAAATGGTTAAGGGAAATAAAAAAAAAATCTTCAGCAAGATAATTGCCTTCGACCATGCACTTACTATCCAAGAAATGCGATTCTTTAATTCATCAATTACTGCTGGGTCACTTGATTTCTTCATCGATTTCTTCAGTTCCTATAAAATCCCAAAAGCAATTGGCAAATAGTTGAACATAGAAATATTACGTTAGAAATTCCTACAATATGAATTCCAGAAAGATAGATACCTCTCGTTCAGCAGGAAGTTTATTTTCATACAGAAAATTATATCTCTTCTTGAACCTACAAGATCCATAACATGGTTTCATTATAGAAAGGTTTGGGTTTTTAGCTTATTTTGAGCTTGTTAAATAGAACAGGCAAATAAGCTGAAAACCTAAAAAGTGGAACCAAACACAGCCTTTCTTAAGTACAAATTATAATTGCTTAAACATGTGCATTTAAATTTTAAGCTAAATAATAAGTGAAGCGAAATGACAAAATAATGTAACAAAATGCTTCCAAAGACATAAAGAGTTTTTCAACAAAGAAGTAGAAAGGTCTTCAGCAGGTTTAAATTTAAAAGTTCTGCTACGATGAAACATATTACAATTCTGTCGATGAAAATTGTTCCCCAACAATAAAGCAGGACCACAAAACTGTTGAATTCCAAACTTTCAAAATTTACTAAAGCTTCCACTTCGAAATAGTAAACAAAAAAGAATAGAGCGAAACACTTAAGAGTAAAAGTAGTCCCTGACTTCTTAGTCTTAGAGCATCTCCAACGGTTTAGCAAAATTTTCACCAAATCTGAATAAAAAAAAGTTGATTTTCTTGATCTGATATACATAGCTCCAATGGTTATGGTTACTGTAG